TACTTGAGTGTCTTTTCCTCATCTTTCTTAGCTCTACTCTCAATCCATGGGCAGCTCATTTCAATTGTGCAGACTTCTTTCCTCTCGTGGTTGACAAGTCGCGCGTCGATCCGATTTGCTCTAACTTCGTTGTGCTCTGCATAGATGGGAATATCCCAAAACGCCTCACTCGTGGTGTTCTGGTAAGCTGGTTTTGGCATCACTGGTGAGTACCATGGTGGAACCTCTTCCATTAACCCACGCTCTCGCAGGAGCTCAAAAAGCAGAATCTTCAAAGCTGCATTATGCCTGTATAGGTACTTGGTTTGTGCCAACGAGGAACATCCAGCCAGTACATGTGCAACGCTCTCAGCTACCTTCCCACATAACCTGCATAGAACTTCGCCGTCGGTGGAGGTTTGCGTCTTCTCCTTTGTGTAGAGCTTCGTAGGTAACAACTGCTCATACAATTCATACATGCCCGCGATGGTATGTGTAGGGCATGTAGCCCAACCTTTTAACCATGCAAAGCAGCTGGTTATGCTTAGGCTCTCATCTTCCCATCTGATACGGAATAACTTTCCTTGCCACTTTTTGTCTTTAGCGATCTCCAAGAACTGCTTCTCTTGAGATTGCTTCAACAGATTCCCAGCTGTTGCTGCAGTTACCACCTTTCCTTTTGTTGTAACACACACGGGATTTAGGGTATCAAGCTGAAGTGTGATGTTGAGTTCTTCAGCGTACTTAGCTGCTTCCTTTACGAGCGACTGGTGGCCTGATGCCATGGCGTGTTCTTCAAATTCTCTAACTGCTTCCACAGTCTGGTCCGGGTTCTGACACAATTTCAGTAGCGATTTGATTTTAGTGATCTTGTACTCGTGTTCGACTGATCGCAGGCCTACACCCCGTTTCTCCCTCGGTAGATATAACAAAGAAGCCAGGCTAGCTGGGTGCTTGCCACCGTTCTCAACTATGATCTTCCGAGCTGCTCTGTCCACATCTCTTAACTCTGATAGAGGCCAATGCTGTGTCCACATTAGGTACCGCAGGACCGGGAGTGCATACTGATTAGATGCCTGCACACGGTTACAATCAGACAGGGGGCTGGACCATATAATAGATATCCTGCGTAGATACTCTTTAGCCGCGCAAGCTAGGGCCAGCCGTTCATCCTGTCGAACGTTCTCTAGCACCCCCAGGAATTTGTAGTGTTTTCCTTCCCCAAGAGCCGTGATGGTAGTTGTCTCGTCCATCCTCATACCAGACTCGTCTAGCACTTGGGCTCCCCTCTTCACGAGTACCACTGAGCACTTTTTCTGATTCCAGTGGAGGCCGATGTCCTGCATCGCTCCTCTAGTCTCTTTCAGCACTCGATTCAGCTTGCTCTCGGAGGCAGCAAAAACCTTGATGTCGTCGATATACAGGAGATCGGTGACTTTGACTCCTATAGGCTTGGATAACCGGTATCCCTCTGTTGCCCGCAGGCGCCACGCTACAGGGTTCAGGCACCGTGTAAACAGTCTAGGACACAAAGTGTCCCCCTGGGGTAGACCCTTCATGAACCTTATTTTTCTAGAAGTCTTTCGCCCTTGCCTTGTTGTAGCTACCACTTTAGTATTCCAGCTCGCACACAACTTGCGTATAACCTCACCCAGCCAGACGGGAAGCCTGTGTACGTCAGTCATTGCGCAGAACCAATCATGATCGACGGAGTCGTAGGCTTTGCGCACGTCAATTATTATTATTATTATTATTATTATTATTATTATTATTATTATTATTATTACTATTATTATTATTATTATTATTATAAATTTTTTAAAACCGCACCAAGGTTTTCCGTGGGGGAGGGGGTGGGTATTCCGGCGCTTACCATTGTTTTAGAACTAGCAGGCCAGACAAGTCCATTCGTGACGAGAGTTTGAGTATTACCAGTAACTAATAAGAGGTTAGGGTAATACTCAAGACTCACTACCCAGACCTGTGTTTTCCTAAGTAGTATGCTTAGCAATGGGGGTTTTTAGCAAAAACTCTCGAGAAAGCCTATTTCATTTTAAAATCATCGGTCTGACCGACCAGCTCTTCAGTATCAAAAAATAAGACAAGGTTAAAGGGAGTTTCGGGCATAAGACTTGAAATTCTAAAATAAACAAACAAAAAATGGAATTATTTTTGCAACATTTCACAGCCTTTTGCATTATGGGTTATCAGGAAAAAGGGCTACCCATTACACTGGCAAGAGAAAGGCAAGCATTTTTGATGACTTGAAGACTTTGTAATAGAAAACAAACAAATAAACAAAAGTTAAACAAATATAAAGAAGTACAGTTGACTCAAAACAAGCCCCTTACCGTCCGTGACCCACTCGCTCTGAGCAACGTACAAAACCGCTGGCACACAAAACTGTGCTACACCATGTTGAGAGGGACTGGTACTATTTAGCATCCAAACAGGAAATACTGCACGAGTGTAATGCTATAAAGAGAAAAGCAAGTCCAAATATTTTTTCAACGTGTTCTCACTACTTCAACTAAAAAATACTTCAAGCGATTCTGTCTTTCATTGGTGTCGAGTTAGGGCATAAAAAAGTCATGGTCTTGTTTCACCCCTTTCCAGATTTTCCCCTTTTGTTTGTTCGCTTTTGTCTTTTCTAGAACGTACAACAAGTCCACGACGCATTTTCTTCGCTACATGCCCGTCAATGACTGGCTAATTCGTGTTATCACGTTATGAAAAAAATGACGAATTCTTATTTTTTAAAGCAACGACTTTATAGTTAAAGACCCACTAAAACTGCACCATTTAAGGATTTACTTATATCGATCATAAATTTTTGAACACTTGAGTTTCGGACAACGTCTGTTTAGCCGATATCAGATCACCATCTTCATAAGCCTTGGCCAATAACACTTACCTGGACCTTGATAATTCCGGATATCACAAAAACGAATCTTAGAATTATTTCATTATACATGATTGAAGAAAATAAAGACAAACACTCCATCGCCAACTTGACGTTGCCCTGGGAAATGATGTATCGCGGGCGCAACCTACACTTTAATCAGTTATCTGATAACCAGCTAATCTGTAAGTTGCACCAATTTCCAAAATTAACTATTAACTGTAGGCTTTTAGCCAATGAGAAGACAGATAGTGAGTACAATGTACTATAAGATCTGTTATAGAAGGTACGTACTTACTTACTCCCCCAACCACTACAAGAAAAGAAATGAACAAAGATTGGAGATGCATCTCGCGCGTCTTTGCGTGCGGAACTCATTTTAGTTTAGATGATATTTTCTGCAATTTTGTCGATTAGTCACTAACCTTAGGATAACCCATACAATTATCCAACATAGCCAGGTCCGTACTTGTAATGACATACACACATCCTTCAACAGAGTGTTCTGGATTAAACTGTATGTTTGGGAAACCACCAGCCTCCTCAGAAGTACCTGCCAACCAGCGTAACAGATTTTGATCAAAATGGTCATAACAAAACTTTGCCATACAGCAAAGAAACTAAGCTTTAATATGAGCTTAATAACAATTTAAATACAATTGTAGCCTGCGAATACAACAGTCTTTCCTTGCTCTTTGCCGCTAGGGACGTTTCGCGAAACGGCCCTTAGCGGCGAAGAGAGACGGTTGTACTAGCATGCTACAAATTAAGGAAAGGGGCAATTTTCCCCCTCCTATCCAGCGCTCTTCATTTTAACATTTCTATAAAAAAGAAATTCTCACCTCGCTTGTTAAAGCAAAGTTGGAACCCGAACAGAATCCCCCACAGTCGCGTCTTGGGCTCTCGTCGCAAGTATATAGCCATCCTTTAACAGAAGAAGGCAGTAAAGAATTAAATCACCCCCCTGTTTAAGACAATGTGTTAGGACTAATTGTAATTCAAACGAAATACACTAATAGTGGCCTGGCCATACCAGTACATAAACTCTGTGAAAAAAAAAATCTGCGTCAAAAATTTGGCTAATTACGACTAGGACAGAAGCAGGACTAACTTGACAACGCCATTCAAGGAAACCTCGTTAGCAAGTATGCCTACACAATTGTTTGAACGGAAATTTGAGAGAATTCTTATGATCCTAAGCAAGATAAAAATTGCTTTCTTCGAACTTTCGCCATTAAAAATATACTGGAAATATTCTAAACAGTATACGTGTAGTTATTTCACAGGTATTTTTATTGTTTACTTAGTTTCTCCAACCCTTGGCAGGGACACCGCACCAGCGCGTGGCGCTAATTACTGCGGGCCCATAACAGTCCCTTCCCCGATGAGAGATGTCGCCTACTCTTTACGAACAGTGTATGGGTTCTTTAACGTCCCATAGAATTTATATCTTACGAGACGAGGGTTACGAGACGGGGCCTATGGTTTGTCGTCCTTATCCGAGAAGACTAGAAGAAAGTCTCTAAAAGTTTGCTAATGTCATTACAAGGGCAACAGTTTCTCCTCAGTTATTGAAAGACACCGAGTGTTAGTGTAGTGAGGGTTTGAACCAGCGGCCTCCCGCTAGGCAGAACGGCGCTTATCCAATTCCGGAGCTAACCAGGCAGCATACAATAAGATTGGTGTACCAACCTGTTAGGGTTCATATCGGGACCATAGGCAAAATAATACAAATGTCCCTCAGGGGGTCTTGCATTGATACTGAAGCAGACAGGTGGAAAGGGCGCAATCTGCTTCTTCTGTTTTAGGTATCTAGAAAACGAAGAGTTAAGTTACTTCAGTTACGGATTGTCAAGCTTGCCTCACTGGTGGAAAACACTTGCTGATCGCCATGTACTCAAATCACAGTTCCCATTTTCCTCTTCAAGTGTGCTTTGATACCCCTTAGTAAAGTAATCTGTTTTTTTCCCTCGCATTTTCTTCAAATTCTACGCTCTCCCACATGCCAATGAGACGAAATCACTTTCCAAGATATTATTAAGGTCCTTTTCCCCCATAAGATTCTCGATTTTGCTGAAGCTGGTCTCCTGTCTGTTTTAAAGGCGACTGGATTTGCTCAAAGGAACGTTTTACTAACCATTTTTAGCATGTACAGCAGATTGAACCCTTCTACTAACAAACTTCCAATCATAAAACCTTTGGTGGTTTATATGCGTTACTGAGCAAGCAAGAGGTCAAGATGACTGGACATTGGCCAAGTACTATCTCACCATTTTTATCAACCAAGACGAAGTTGAAGTCAATAAAAACAAACAACAAAATGAGGAAAATAGAGCGATTTTCGCATGACCTTGAAATGAAAACGCGCGAATAAAACAGACACAACAAACGATAGGGCGATTTGATTGGTTTATCGAACGGATACAAACGCGCATGGCTATTGCTTGGTTAAGCGAACGCTCGGGTGAAAAAACTTCATGCCTGAGAACTTTCTGGAAATCAACCGATACTTCGCTTTGACGTGATACTGCAACACGATTGGCTAATCGGACAATGCCTTCTCCATATTAGGGTTTTCTTTGGCCGGAAAACGAATAGGCCATGTTTTGATAGTTTCATCCACTGGCTGACAAAACAAATAACGAACACTTCCCAAACCATTTTTATGGTCACACGGAAATCTCTCTATCCAGCCATCTTGCCCGAACACGCCTGGGCAATAAAGGATTTAATATTATGGCCAAAGAGAATTTTTACTTGCGGGACCAACGCGGGAAATCCCGAGCAGGCGAGATAGGCCCATCTTACCCGCTCGTGTAGCCAACTAGAATGCGGGATTCGCTTCATCTTGCACGCTCGCGGATTCAGCCATATAATAGACGCTATTCTCTTCCGTCTTTCCGTTAGCTTCCACTCGCCCACCCTCCGTTAACCATCCCTTTAAGCCTCAATATCAACATGCATTTTCTGCACATTGTTTTTCATACATTTCTAATGGTATTGCTTGAGAGAATTTGTTCAACATCGTGATGACATTTCATCTTTAGTGATCATTTTATTCATTCTCATGACTAATCTCGTACCCATCTCTTGTTTACGAAGCCGAAGGCGAGATCTGTTCATGTAAGAAAATTACATTTTTTGATTGGCTAGATTGTGAGCGAATGACGTGAGTGTTGTCTCCCTGTAACCACGTTTTGTTGGAAAAAAAATTCACTGCTCTATCAAATTGGTTGTTTAACACGGCTAAAATTGAGGATTCATTTCGAGTGTGCGCTCTTTCATCACCTATCACATAAATGACAGGCGATTCCGCGTACAAATCGGATTTGACCAGATCTCGCCTTCGGCTTAGTCAACAAGAGATCTGGGTACGAGTCATGACCTGTCTAATTTATCGGCCAGTATTCATTGTTAGGAGAAATTGCGTGCTGGTCACTATTGGGGCTCAAAGGGTTAATCTCCAACCACAACCTCCTCAACCGAGCAAAAGTGATAAACAGAAAATAAATCAATGAAATTGAGGGTTTAATTTTGAAACAGAAATAAGTAAAATGTAAACTAAAATATTCGGTATCAACGTCGTTTGCATACATAGAGCTGTACCTTGACTCGGAGAAAGGTTTCGGCTTAGCTACCACCTCCAAATTACTGGAATTTTCATCGCAATTGTCTCTAAAACCATCATTTTCATCAACCACGCTTTCTCCACCGGCGCTACCATCATCATTTACGGTGCTCTTTAAATCCAGATCATTCTCATGTTCACCGCCATTTTCTTTGCTGTAACCCCGTGGAGTGTATTGACTGCTGTTATTCCTACATGTACCAACGCCAACGCGTTTAAAGGAATAACATTCAGTAACACTAGACATTGATTCCACACCAGAACTACTGTCTTCTGCATCTTTAGCACTCCCCAATTCTCTGTTATTATTCACTGTCACGAACACGCCGAATGAGGCAGAGTTCACAGAACTGTTTATCCCTTCTAAATAGTTATCTTCATCATGCCCTATGAAGTCAGACTTGTTAAGGGTAGTCCGTTCAGTATTTGGCATTTCTGAAATATTTCCGACTTCTTTTCCACTGGAGCTTGAGCTGGTTTCCAAACTTTTTACGCCGTTTTCATTATGACCGAAGTCACTTCCACATGTACCTTCTGCTAAATCCTTTGCTACATGTACCACAGACATACAGAGGCCGTTAGAAGGAGCTGCGCCGATGTGCACTTCACCCATCTGTTTGCCATACGCATCCTTCTCTTTTAATATTTTTTGATACTCCTTAGTAAAATAACCTGGGATTTTTTCCCTCGCATCTGGTTTCAAACTCGGCGCTCTTCCAAAGGTTAATGGGGAAATATCATTTTCCGAAGAACTGTTCTTTTGGCTATTTTTCTCATCAGGTTTTTTTGATGAAGTAGGTCGCTTGCCTCTTTTCATTAAAAGCGAGTCACGTTTAGTTCTAGCATGCCCAGCAGACTGCACTCTTCTACTTCTGAACCTACTACCAGCAGTTGGAGGCTTCACCGTGGAAGTATTCAGGTTCAGATTATCAAGTACTCTGAAAATATCTGCTGAAGGTATTCGGTCAGAATCTAGGGCCTCGATTTCCAACTTGTCATCAACATCTTCGACCTTAACAAAATCGTTCCTAATACCATGAATCAGTTTTCCTTCATTTTCACCAAAACTCTCTGTCGTCCCATTTTGCCCTTCTTTTGCCGAACTTTGTCGGTCTGTTATCACGTGTCCTTTCGACGTTTTCTTGTCTTCAGCTTCCCATATCAACGCATTGCGTTGATCTCTTGTCGCATGTGCTCCAACAGCTGTCACATGCTGTCCTTCTGTTGTCGCATGTTGTCTCTCTGAAACCACGATGTGGACATCGATTATTTTGTAATCACTCCCTAGTTCAGAACAACTACTAAGAGACTCCCTAATTTCACGATTCTCTGATTTTCTACAGTCAAGACGACCCCTTTCCTTTTTCTTGCTGTTTTTAATTTTCGGAGTCGATTTATTTGAAGCTGAAATGTTCAGACAATCTACCAGATCGCTTGTGAAGTTTCGATCAACGCTTGAGCATCTATTTTCTTCATGTTCACAACTCCCCAAACGCGCCTGTTTTCCCTGAGAACTGGTTCTGTTTTTCATTTGTTCTTTGTTGGTCCCATTCCCTCGGCCCTTATTACTATGGCAACTAACACACTGGTTTGTTTGTCGTGCCCAGTGACCCTCTTCCTTATCACTATCATCATCTGGAAGTGGCCTATTGCTATTAGCAGGATCAATATAGGGCTTACAAGTATTGGTAAGCTTTGAGCTACTTTCATTTCTAGACGTCGAGTAGTGTGAGAAACCCTCATCATAAGGTACTTGGATTTCAACGCCAACACTGTCTTCACTTTCGTCTTCTGAGAAACTTCCATCGCTGTCATCGTTAGCTGGATCGGCTGAAGACGCAGACGAAGTTTTGTGGAAGGTACTCTCTGGACGCAACTTCTGATGAGGACTATCGGGCCTTGCCAAACCAAACATCGAATTATTCGAGTTGGAGAGGTGACAATCGCCGTCGGGTTGTGAAGATTTTGTGCGCCGTCTGGTAAAGCCGTGGTAACTTCTTGAACCTGTGAGAGAGAAACCGTTAATAAATACAACTGTAACTTCTGTAACGTGTACAAGCACAGTGCAACCCCGCTCTACGGACACGCGTACATCAAGCACAGTTTCGTTTGTCCCTACCAAAAGCTCATATCTTTCTCTAAACTCAGCCTGCTTAATATCGACACCGGTTAATACGGACAAAGGACACTTTTCCGTGTCCCGAGTCACAGACTGTAATATATCGTCAACCCCGTTTAACGATGTGCATCGGCGCACTGTCTATTTTCATTGTGTGCTGATTGTAAACATTGAAAGATTTCTACGGCTTAATACGATTATATAACTAAGAAAGGAAGCAAATTAGCGTGACGTGTTGGATTTTGATCAGTAAGTCTATCTTCCGATGTTTCACCCTCTCACTACACTGTAGTCGTTTAATAAAGTTTAATAAGAAACTTTATTAATGTGTCCTCGACATTTTTTCTGAGAGCCCTCTTAATACAGGCACTATGACATGTCCCCTGGGAGTCTGTTATAGTCGGGTGCCACGAAAATTTGCATGCGATTCTGCACCACCGTGGCTTCTACAGGAACTGGATACGTACACCTTGCCATAACCCTTCTCCCGCCCAGCCATATAGCATGGAAGTGTTTGTACCGGTGTATAGTACTCGAAATTTTACGACCAGGAAAATATGCTTTCCTCAATCCAAGCTCGTTTGTTTAAAATGTGACGCATACAAATGTGGACATGCAGTGCACAGGCTTACCAGCCACAATGCCTTTACACTGGCTCATGGCTGGACCAGATGCTGTCACAGGCCTACCAAGTGGTCTGAGGTTACCCCTTTGTAATTGTGAGTGATGCAGCCTTAAATGTCTTGCTCTTTTTTCACTCTCCAGCTGCCTCTTCACTTTCAAAACACCTGCCACGGTTTGCTGTTTTAACTGATGGCTTGGGTCTACAACCTAAACACAACAAATCATTTTATTGAGAGATACAGGTTACATTCAGAAAAGGAGACATACCAAGAAACCAATGGAGACTGAGACAGAAATATGGATACAAGACATAAAGTGAAACCGGAATAAAGTGAATGCCATATAAAGTGGAAAAATGGCTCAGTTTGTTTTAAATGTTTTCCTTTCCAGTAACAACCAGCCTGTATTTAGCAGTCATACCTCTGTTAAGTGGACACCAGCAAAGGTCCTGTGGGTGTCCACTCAAATTTGCTAGGTTTTACCATACTTCCTGGTGAATAGACCAAAGTATTCTGATATTTCAAAACCACTTTGGGCTCCGAGTCGTGGAGGAATAAAATAGAAGAAATTGCCTTGAGGTTCAAGGATGAATAATCACGCATTTCTACTGATTTATTCCGCCACAACAGGGTTGAGAACAAATTCTAAAATATATCAAACAATTATAAGTCTATGATAAATCAAAAAGTTTTGTGTGTGGTGTTTGAAAAACACAAACTGCAGAAAGTGTAGACTGCTACATGTAGAACTTTCATTCAAGGGGTGAAACCGGCAAATTTTGAAAGGGCGACCTGGGCTTCAACATGACTGTCTGAAGTGGTAAGTACCTTATCATCTGAAACCTGGAGTGCCACTTAAACAAAAAAAGAGAGAAAGGGGGGATTCCAGAAGCCAAGGCTGTGTTCTAAGAAAAAATAATATTGAAGGGAGCCCAGTGATATCTACCAATGAAATCCACGGTGACCAACATGTACAAATGTAATTTTCAAAAGAAAAAAAATTATTTTCTAATTGCTGAAAGCAAAAGTAAGGTGCCAGAGGCTACCACATGCTTCTAGAGCAGCACTGGTGGAACGCCTTGAACTGTGCCTCATGTTTGACACACTATATATATTATTACCTACATTGTACCATACAGTGTGTTATTTATATTAACTGAGGAGAAGACTGGATGGCAAGGTGACCAGCTTGGCTGAGGTCATCTGAATTTAACGAAAGAACAAAAAAAATGGATAGTCGAATGGATGAAAGAACAAATAAATGAGCGAATGAACGAACGAAAGAATGAAAGAAAGAAAGAATGAATGAATGAATGAATGAATGAATGATTGAAGGAATGAGTGAATGAAAGAATGAATGGATGAAAGAATGAATGGATGAAAGAATGAACGAACAAAAGAACGAACATACAGCTGAATGAAAGAGCACTCTTAAGTCACACTGACCTACCATTATTGGTCCTTTAGTATCTTTTTCTGGGCCTTGTTTGAATGGTGAACTGATATAAAAATTCCCTTTTGGAACCTGTACCCTGCTCAGATTATTCTTGTTCCTAGGAGTGGATCTACTTGCACCATATCTATGCTGAGTGGAATGTTCTCGTTCACTTTCAGCAATAAATGAGGAGTCTTCTAAACAAGAAAAAAAAACAGTAATTAAGTAACTTACTAGACGGTTATCTCATAAAACTGTGTATTTTTCTCTCAGCAACAAAGATAAATGCAAACTATCTCTGTGGGTTCTCCAAGAGAAGCCAAAGAAGAATCCATTATTATTATTAAATTATTATCATTATTATTATTATTATGTTACAATGCAATACCCCCATGATATAATGTTGAAAACATACACCCTACAATATTGACAATACATTAACTTTTGCATTAATAGAAAGGAAAAAAAGACACATCATTTAACAATTCAAGCTAGAAAAATCAATTTGTGAATGCAATACTTACAGTGAACACAAGTAAGCTTTGGATAGTTATTACCCGGAATGCACTTTTAACTTTGGTAACCATAAAGACTGAAGATCTTCCAAAAAATTCTTAGCAATTTGGTTGGTGGACCGGATATGGCACCAAGGAAATAATCATGAGGTCTCTTTAAGATCCAGTCAAAATATCCAGGAAGCGTTTAATTTTTGTAACAAGCCACTAAGTGTTTGTGCTCTAACTTTTTGCCACAACAACTTGGATTTTTCAAACAAGTGTCTTGGCATTTTGGCGTGGCTTTGATAATTTTTGACTGCTTTCATACCTTGCCAATATCATTAGATTTAAACAATGCTAAAATGCTAACACTGAAAGTTTCTCAACACCAGCTGAATTTTCCATGGGACCATCAGACTCTTTGATGGAATATCTGACTGATTGATTGATCTCTTATTGAATTACCTAAATGCTTCAAATGCTTCTTTGAAGGAAATTTTCTTAAGTAACAGTGGTATAGTCTATACTATTGGTCACGTCAAACCTGTTGTCTTACCAAGGCTGAGCTCTGAAAATCTTGTGTCTATACTTAAATGTTTCCCTGGTTGCTGAAAAAAAGTAAAGTTGTTCATACAGTGACTGGTTTGAAGTTACAAAACTGGACAGGAGAAAATTACTAACCTCTAACCAGAAGAGAGTTTTGTCTTAAGAGACAAACAAGTGTCTTGAGGGACGAGAGTCTTGTCTCAAGGGACAAGTCTAATGACTCTTGCATTTGAGAAACAAAAGCAAAGTGTTTTTTAATTTTTGGCAATTTAAATACAGGTCACATTCTATATGTCAAAGAGATGCCCCAGACAGGACCAGTGCCAGAGATAAACAAAAACAAAAAAAAATGAGTCTTTTCACCCTACATGTAATTGCAAATATGAAAGAAAAAGAGTTTTCGTTTATGAGGGAAAATTGTGTGTGACTAAAACAATGAATCAAAAGAGCAATGACCTGTACTCACTGCAAGTGGAATGTGACCTGCATTAATGGAATGCAATGAAATTCCTGCGTGTATACATGGCAAATGTTAGCAAAAATTAAAAAACAACCTCAGTCAAACACTTAATTCCATACATGCATTAACACTAATATTCTCGGGCAGCTGGCAGCTGTTAAACAGACCTCTGAATGTTATCCCACAAGCTCTTGTTGGTGAATGAGCAGGACCATAATTGGCTATCTCTATTATCTCTTTTACTTTTTCTGAAAACGCATGTAGTACAACTGTAACTACTAGCAAATGCACAAATGGATGACTTGCAGGGGTATAGAATGGTGCCTGGAATAACGTGGGTCTTGCAAAATTCTGACCCAATCTCAAAATATTGCAAGCGTTTTTGAAGGGTATCAAAGCCCATTTTTGGGTGATTTTTGCGTCGAGCAGCCACAATTTTTTTGTCAAAGGGTCTTGGAGTCTTGGATTTGTCGATTGCTTGTCTTTGTTAAACAAATTTTCAGGGTTCATGGGTACAGCTTATCGAAATGAGTCAGTAAATTACAACATTAATACAAGACAAAGCAGTAAATATTGGTGGGCTTCCACTGTGTTAGCTTTCATTCCAGCATTTTTGGTTATTTTATTATTTAGGCTTTATTTGTACCATTATCTCGAAATTTTTGGCGCTTAGTGTCTCGGGCTTAGAATTCTTAGAGGGAAAGTATTGGACTTGAAATTGATAAAAACACTTTTAAGGATCCTTAAGTCTCGGTCTCAAATTTTGAAACCAGGGTCTCACAGTCTCACAAAGTCTCCAATTTACCATCATATCTGGGGAGTGGGGGTAGGGGGGGTACTTGGGTTAATTATTGCTGGGTATGTGCCGCTTGCCTCTCAGCACCCCTACCCCAATATAGTCTATTCTGTGGCCAATTATCGACCCCCACCTTAGTCACTTTGGGGCAAATATGTAATTTTCACGATCCCAATTTAGTCAATTTCTATTTTTATGAATTGACTCACTTTTTAATTGGAATGAAGAACACTGTATTTTGCACAGGCTACAGTACAAATATTCTGGTACATATGCTAACTGTAAATATCAAGAACTGTCTTACTCTTAAAAAATCCAAAAAAGTATGACCCAGTTCTAGAAACTCTATTGAAAATGTGAGCCTATTATAGTCAATCCAGTTGGGAAAATGCTACCCCATTCGGCCACATATCCCCATTAGCCCCTTATAAGGAAGTACCCCCCCCCCCAACTCCCTTGGGTCTATATACCTCTATTTGCAGTCAGTCAATGGAGCCTATTGGGCGATTCCAGAAAATATCCATACCATACCACGGACGGCTTTAAGGATTTCCGAAGGGGAGGGGGGATTCACGATTATGGAATTCTGAAGGCATGGGGGGGGGTATTTTACGATTTGAAACCGAAGGTATGGGGAATTCCACAGGTGGGATTTCTGGAGTAGAAAGTGTAGAGTAAGTTCCTGGAAAACGCTATTGTTGTGGACTTTTGTAGTTAAGTAAATAAACCACGAACGTATGACCATGGAAGCAGAAGACAAGCATCGATAGATCAGACACGTGTTTACGCTCATAGCTTATAGAAGTGAACAGTAAAACGTTGGTTTCACATTTACCTTGATGAATTTCTTGTCACGTGAATAAAAACTGAAAATGTATCTTTTAATACCCCTTGCAAATTTCTTGTTACTCCCGTCCGAAACCGTCCGATAAACAGTAAAAAACTCGCACCAGTCCCTCACTTCCAAGGAACGCCTGTCAGATTAGAACGCTTTTGTATGCGCACTACATGACGTATAAAAAGGACGAAACACGACTCGGACGGTATATTTGACCGCCAAAAGATTTTAACAGTCTGTTTGAGCTATTTTCCTTTGTAAACGCGTCAAAACAGCACAAGAAAACAAAGAGGAGTAAAATTACCTTAAGTGGTGTTTATTTTTATAGCCAAATTCGGACTTAAAAAGGAGTTTGCACGGCCTGGCAACTAGCGTAGGTTTTTCTTGTCACTGAAGAGTAAAGCTTGTCACCTGGCGCCGCTAGATCACAGCCTTGAGGAGGCATAAATTCATGTTCGTTTGTTCTTATAGGCGTTGCTAAGTCGAAAATGTACTTCAAAAAAAAACCGGAAATTCTGAAGGGGAGGGGGGGTTCACGACTATGGAATTCTGAGGGCATGGGGGGGTAGCGCATTTTGGAATTTCCGAAGGCAAGGGGGGGTTAAAACATGGAAGCCGTCCGTGGTTGGGTATGGATATTTTCTGGAATTGCCCATTTGTCAGGGATTTGTCAAGCTGGGCCAAGTTGTTCGAAGGCCAGTTAGCGCTAACCCAGGTTTAAATATTAACCCAGGTCTCTTTTTCTTTTCATCACAAGCATTTTCTCGGAAATTTTCTCTTTTCTATTTAGGGTGTTTAATCATCAAATTGTAGACAAAAAGAATTAAACTGAATTTGCTTTTTAGCTTTCATATCTGAATTCAAATTAATTTTGTACTAACCCTGGGTTATTTTAACCCTGCTTTGAACAACCCAGCCCTATATAATAATTCATCCCCTGGAGGAGATGAGAACAGGGGGGAGAAGAAGTCTCAAAATAACTGAAGAAACTAATTTGATAGTGATATGAACGTTCTATTTTTGATCAGTTGAAATAAAGTTTTAGTTATGTAAATGCAGAAATTTGTTTTAGTGTTTGGTGCAGAAAAGCAAGTCAGTCAGTGATGTAATCAAACTTAATACGGTCTTCTAATGAACTTACCTGATGGTTGGTGCCACTTGGAGGCCTGACATCAAAATCTACATCATAGTCGTCTAACTCCTGGCGGCATCTGTCGGTCGCTGAACCACTTCTTGAACTGCTGCTATTACCACTTGACCGTCTTGGGTTCCTTGTCGAGCGATCTTGTTCGCTGATTACATCCATTTGGCTTTTGATACCAATATTGTATTCCTTATATGTGGACTTAAGACTTAACAGTTATATCACATTTTCGGAAGATTTCGACTGGGACATATTATGCTTGGGATGACAAAGTTTTTCAAGTTACAAATTTCCATATTATTTCCATGGATTCGGACGCCATTTTGACCTTTCCGTTTCGCAAGGCATCATGGATTAAACGGGTCGCTGAGACTCATGGGATATTCAATATGGCGGAAGACACGTTGAGACGGTCCTGTGAAAATGGGGAGAATTCCTACCTATTTGATTTGGCTGGAAACAATGTTAAATGGAAAACGATATCTCTGACTCACGTTGAATATCCGGAAGGTAATCCTGGCTCAGTTATTACTATTCTTGGCTTTTAAATTCGTTCTAATGCTGAGACCCCCTTTTCTCCACGCGAATTTTAATCGTGATATTATTGAAAACACTCAAAGCGTACAGCTCTGTTTGTTCTCTCTAATTATGAACTCATCCCTGCTTGCTGTTACTACAGTCGTCCAAATATCGTTTTTTTTCTATGTTGTTCGATACAGGAGACTTTGTTGGAAAGGTTTTAGCTTGGTGTAGTTTACTACCAATTTTTATCTTGGTTGGTTTCATAACGTTGATAATCTTCAGACGCGAATTACACACGGTAAGATAGTCAATTTCCTGGTCGATAAAAATTACAGTTTACATTTTATGTAGTAAATATGCAGATTTTTGCTCTTTGCGAGTGTTCTTTCAGTGATTGCCCTGACAAGCTTGACAACCACTCCCACTTTTAATATCTGGTTAGGTATCCCTAGCTTGTAATTAACATTAACTGTTGTACGAGCCTGTGTATGATGCGAATAATTATGCAGATCAACGAGGATGTTATCAGATAACAGTCCCCGAATAATAATTATACCGACAACGAACAAACAAACAAGTAATAATAATGCATTTATAGTGTACAGTTTCCATAAAAATATTCAAATGCGCATTGCAGTCATCAGTGAACAATGTACGATCTAAAATTAAATGAATAAAAGTAATAGTTTAAATTTGAAAATTTTCAATAAAGCATTACAATGATAGAATGTTACAAAATAAAATACAAAATTACAAGACATATACTTAGCTATGATCAGGATAAAAATGCTAAACAAAATAATTTAAGAACATCAACAGACTTGGCCATCTGACATTGAATAGTCAAGCTTTCCAGAGTCTTTTAATGGCACAATTGGAGGACATATCACCAATTGTCGCTTTGGATATAAAACTAGGATAATTATAACTGTATCATGATGGACAGCTAAGAGAAATAAGAAATGACAAATGAAAGAGAGTTAAACCATAAGGAATTTAAAAAGTAATTAAAAGAATTTTAAACTCAGTTTTAAATCTAACTGGTAACCAACATGACTTTGTAAATAAGCTGTGTTATGTGACAAATTATATATTGGCAATTGCACGTTTAACCTCTATAAGTTTAAACATAGTCCCTTTTTTTTGGTGTTTAGTGCTTCTCATTTTCATTTACAGACTGTTATGTGTGGCATTTATACACAAAAGAATGTTTTATTCAACTGTATTTTTAATGATAGTATGGTGTGCTTTGTTGCAGATGACATTCCTTCTTGGAATTTTAGTAAATGAAGTTGTAAATTTGATCATAAAACACACTCTGGCATATCCTAGGCTCTGTGGAGATCACGTGTTTCCAAATTCCTCTTATGCAATGCCCTCAGATCATTCTCAGTTTATGGCCTTCTTTGCAGTTTACTCTATCCTGTTTATCTATATAAGGTAAGCTTTTGAGTTAAGTAGTAGACCTTTATAATATACTGACCTTATGTATACATGCAATATTACATGTACTGTACAGTGTATGAGATAGTCTACTGCTGACAATTGGCTTTTAAAAACTTGCTCACAGAAGACTTTTCTTTGTGGGCCAGTTTAACTACAGACAAATTTTGCATAAAGCAGTTGTTCTAAATAACATAAATTGGTGTATTTACAATAGACAGCAATGTATATTCTTGATGTACTGACAACACTTACACTTACACTTACAAGACCCATCACTGATTGTTAACTGAAGCAAAAGAGCCCAGCTCAATCACAAAAAATGCCTGCTTAAAGGCTTGCAGAGAGTTGTTTCATGCAAATTTATGGGTTCAGGCTTCCTGCTTTGTTATGGTCTGCCTTCTTACCTTAATTCAGCCCGTCTTTTCTGACCAATCCGCAGACAAATGTAGTCACAGTGAGAGTTGTGACAGTTGAGAGTTTGATGTTGGATCTGAGACAACAAGAATTAAAAAGTTGACAGCTACAGCTGTATGTTCAACAGTAGAGTAAAAAATACTTATTAGCGTGCCCTCAGACAATGTCCATCTCATGAGGTACTTCTTTCTGTAGACTAGTCCATTTTACTCAGTCAACCACCGTCTGGGATGATTTAATAGAAAATCTATGGCGTCACTTGCTAGCAGTTGGTGTTGTGTTAGCTGCTGTTGCTGTAGGTTTCAGTAGGTGAGTGCAGACTGTTTAATGTTGAAAAGAAAAGTAATAAAATGGAATCAGAAATAAATAACAGTTGAACTTCCTCAATATGGACACCAAAGGAACAGAGCCAATTGTTTGCATGACAGAGGTACAAACTATATGGAATTCAGTATCCTTAGGAACACTGGTTTTTACAGTTATGTTTTCTTTATGACAAACTCTACTCATTATTTTGTGTCAAAATATTTAGGGGAAAAAGTGTGACTTATACTGTATAGAACAGGATTTGACTCAGAAAACCCTTAAGTGAAGAATTCCACCGCTGCATATCAAAGTGACTGCAATAAAATAATATTGATATCATGACTGTAGTGTTTGCCTCAGTGGAAGATCACAGCTTAATTCTTACAGGTACCTTCCTGAACCTGAGCACATAATTATTATTCCCTCCTTTTGCAGAATATACCTTAGATACCACACACTACATCAAGTGTGTTATGGATTTCTCCTTGGCTCTGCAATTGGTGTTGCCTGGTTCATGTTCACTCAAACAGTTTTCACACCACTCTTTCCAACCATAACAACATGGTAAGTAGATAATGGTGATTAAAGACTAATGTTCTGATTTTTTAATGTACTGGGGTGAAGCTTAACCCTTGTACGTCACACAGTTCTCATACTGTCTCAGATAAACAAAAGTTTATATGTCATTATGATGTTACAAACAAATTGGGCAAATTAAATTACTCATATCATTTCTCTTTGTTTTCACCAAACAATTTAATTAATACTGTATTCTCTCTTGTAAGTCACTCCAACAATAAATATTATTTTTCTGTTCTGTTTCAGCATTTGACATATGTGTTGTTTAATCTTGTGGCTTTCTTTTATTTGTGATAATAACTATTTAGCTGTTGAAATCACTATCCCTCCCAAATACAACAATGACAAAATACTCTGAAACCGTTACCCTTAAAGTCCTCAGTATAATGAATGATATTCTTTGCTCCATAAATGGTAAAATATGAAGAAAAGTACCTTGATATGAAGAACATAGTAATAATATTATTTTGCCACTCCTTGCAAGCAGTCTCTTATTTTTCTTTACAAAATTGCTGGGAACATTCTGGCAGGGATGAGAATACAAGGGAATTAAAAAAGGGTGGACTATAAGCAGTTTGCCATCCCCTCGATCCATGGTCCTGATTATTAAGGTGATTCCCTAGTAAAAGAACCTAACATAGATTGTAGATGAAACTTGGTACACTGATGTAACAAGTCAAGAAAATGATAAAAAGGTAATAAAAAGTGGGGGTCACCGTGCTTGTTTTGACGTCACAATGCTGACAATTACGGCTATTTTGGACCCTTTAACAAAATCCACGCGCAGCCTAAAACTAGACAAAAAGGAAAGATATTTTCAATGATGCATCCACTATCAAGGAAGTCGAACTCACACGCTTACTGCTTACATTATGTACATTCCCACCTCATTGAGTCTCACCTCGGCAAGAAACAACCGTAAGACAAAATTACAATAGCGTTTCTCTTTGGTCAACTTCATTTTAATGATGTTACTTCACATGCTCTTTTTTACGGAGGCCATCTTGTTATGCGCAGTAAGAGATGCGCAGTGCAAAACCAGGGAATCACCTTAAGGTTTCACTCTAGCTCTTTGTTTCCACAGGCCTCTATGTGAATATCTAATGGTCCGTGACTCGACTCTTATTCCATCAGTGATGTGGTTTGAATACACTCAATCAAGAACTGAAATGAAGTAAGTAAAACTTTTATCATGATTAATTTCAGTGGTCTTTGACCCTTTCACGCCAAGAGTGAATGATAGAGTCTTGCAAAGGGGGCTCTAACTTTTAAGTCTGTGAATGAAATCCTATGGTGTGACCACTCAAATAACACCTCTTCAGCAGTACTTTCAGATGCTGCACTACTATATATTTAGTATAATAGTTCTAACTTTTGAGTCTGTGGATGAAATGCTACAGTGTTACCATTCAAATGAAACCTTTCCAGCAGTACTTTCAGATGCTGTGCTACTATTTGTTTAGTATAATAGTTCTAACTTTTGAGTCTGTGGATGAAATGTTACAGTGTTACCATTCAAATGAAACCTTTTCAGCAGTACTTTCAGATGCTGCACTACTATTTATTTAGTATAATAGTTCTAACTTTTGAGTCTGTGGATGAAATGCTTCAGTGTTACCATTCAAATGAAACCATTTCAGCAGTAATTTCAGATGGTGCCATTTATTTAGTACAGAGTATGTAGTTCTAACTTTGAGTCTGTGGGCAAAACTCTATTGTGTAGCCATTCAAACGAAACCTCTTCAGCAGTACTTTCAGATGCTGCACTATATGTAGTGTAATAGTTCTAACTTTTGAGTGTGTGGATGAAACTCTATGGTGTTGCCATTCAAATGAAACCTCTTCATCAGTACTTTCAGCTGCTACTATTTATTTAGTATGTAGTTTTAACTTTTAATTTTAAGCAGTACTTCCGCATGGTACTATTTGTTTAGTATATATTCATTTACATGTGATGTAGTCATGTAGTTTTAACTTTAAAGTCTGGGTGAAATTGGTATGATGTGACCATTCAAACAAAATATCTTTGGCAGTACTTTCTTTGTTTTTCAAAATTAAATTTTGAATTTTTGTCTTATTTTGAATTTGGCCACATCTTGAACTGAAAGTGTTTTTTTTTTTTCTTATTTTTTTAGGAAGCGGCAAAGGCGAGGCTCTCATAATAGTTATTGCAAATCACATTCCTCGTGATAAGGAGCAAGATGTCGATGAGGAGCAGCAGTTCTGAACCTCTGTCCTTCAGAAGCGTGTGGAAGAGAAAACTCTGGCTCAGTCTGAGTGAAAGGTGCCGAAAAAGAGAGTCAAATTCCCCATGACTTGACTCCTTCATTTCACTCTGTGAATTAATCAATATTATACATTGGTTTCAATGTTCCTTTTGCCTTTCGTCTATCGGTTAGTCTTCGAGATCATGATGGCTTTAGCATTGTTTTGAAATCTTGTATCAAGATTGGCCATTAATATTACAAGGTGACATGTACCGTTGAACACATTCTAAGCACAAGGGTATCATTGGGTGATGTCTAGATTGAGGACTTACCCAACGGAAGACTTATAAAACTTGGTAACTTGAGCATTTGACTTATGCCTCTTGTAGCTGACGCAGTGTATGTATTGATATTTTTTATCTGTTCAAAAATCAAATAATGTGTATGTGGGGATTGTATATCTGGTATCTGGGAGAAAATTCAGTTGCCCCAACCTTACACATATTACTATAGCAGTGAACAAAATGAACCTATAAAACAAATAGATGTATTGAGTCATTAAGTCGTTTATTTACTTTATATCTTAGTTTTAGGGCGCGTTCCTTTGGCCTTATTTCAGGATAAGAATGAATGGGGTGGAACCTAGGAAAGTATAGCTCTTTCTCTCCATAAGCAGCGGTCATGTTAGTTTTGTCAACTGGTACAAAAAACGTCTTTCGTGATAATTTAAGATAAATGGAAAATTTGAAGCGCGATAGTGAACGAGAAAGACGGTATGATCGCCTGAACTTGGGACAAAGAAAGATCTTGAGTCCTAGAATGTGAAACTATGACCTCCCAATTATCGGGCTTTTGGGTGAGAGAAGCGACGACCGGAAATACGTCTTCGTTCGCAGGCTACCACATGAGGGCGACTGCTTTACCCGCTGAGCTGCGGAGAGACTTATGGATAGCACACCCATTTACAAGGTTAACGGGAGTGGTGTGGGGTATTCCCAATCAACCCCCTCCCCCCACTCAAATAAAGAATAGAAAAGGGGTTCGTTTTGACCTTCGTGCGACTTTATCCTGGATTTTTGCGGAGGAGGGGTTGCTTTATCATTTTATTCCCGTTCAAGAGAAGTGTTTTGCTTGGTTAAGAACAAATACAACCGTGATTGTCATTTTGACATATGTTTTGAGATTGAGATGATTTAGCTTTTCCGAAATTTTGAACCCGTAAAAGGGTTTTTTGTATGTCAGTGACTTCTGAATCCTGAAAGAAGAGATTGGTTACAGTATTCTCGTATATTCTTACCTAAAATAATGCCTCGTCGAATGTGCCCTTAGTTTATCGAAAGTACAGTCAAACTCCGTTAATACGGACACTGATGGGCCATTAAAAGCCGAGTGTCCGTATTAAGCGGGTTGAATTTACAGAAAATCTAAGGGCTTTCTTTCCTCAGGAACTAAGGCTGGGTGCAAACGGAGGCAACAACTCCCAACAATGTTGCGCTAACAATGTTGGGAGTTTTTGCGTGCGGGTTGGCAGTGGTGTGCAAACGGATGCAACAACTCCCAACAATGTTGGGACCTGCAGTGCATCGTGGGAAGGATACAACCCATAAGTCTTTGTAAACCATGCGTAATGAGCGTGCGTGGCCCCAACAATGTTAGAGGAGCTGTGCAAACGGATCCAACATTGTTGTGCTACGCCTCGGCGATCACGGAAAAAAAGAAATGTTGGGAGTTGTTGGCTGAAAAGTTTGACCGGTTTCTAACTTTGCGCAACAACACGCAACGACATGCAACAACATACAACAGGGTGTGCAAACGGACGCAACTTGTAACATCCAACAATGTTGGGAGTTGTTGCCCAACAATGTTGCGTCCATTTGAACGGGGCTTAAGCAATCTGTCCGTAATAATGAGGTGTCCGTATTAATCGGGTGTCCGTAAAGTGGGGTTTGACTATAGACTTCAAATAAGTAATTATTATAGTTAAGTTTATATTATGGGAAGGTTAGAATGTCATTTTCGACTTTATCAAAATTTTTTTAAGGCCCGGTTTAAACGCCGTCTCTAAACAAGCTAATTCAAAAGTGATTGAAAATGCATCAGTCTTATTTACGGTAGGATCGGTTAAAGTATATGAAACTGTGACATTTATGTGGCGCATGAACATGTCGCCGTGTGAATCAATCATTTCCATTTCAGTGCCGTGCGACGTTGTGGCAGCGTACCAAGGAAAAATTTCCTAACCATTGAATTTGATTTAACTGCCGCTGTCTTGGCTTTCCTTATTCAATCATTCGCGGCGTTTAATTTGGGCCTTATACGAACTGGTGCCACAACAGGTCTGTGTTACTTTTCAAGAAGAGAGCAAAAGTTACGCAGACCTTAGGCCCCTTTTATATTCAATTTAAAGTTATATTTTTTGATGCAAAGAAATCAAGTATATCAGAAGATAAAATTTTATGTGTTATATCTGAGTTGGAAGTCTTTGTCATACCAAAGTTTATATTAAACTGTACACTTATCCTTGTTCCTACGGTCTTGCCCCGTTGCGACGCTGACCTGCTTTCACCTCTCCCCAGCCTCTCATTCACTATCTTACTTTGCTTATTCTTATTATTGTGCTGCGTAATGACTTTTCCCGGCGTGAGATCTAATTTTTGGGAATGTTTAGTGTTCAGCGGCCTTGTAAATAAGATCTAAAGTTTCATAAAAGGATATTTCTGTTCTAAATTAAGGTTCTTGCTTTAGAAATATCCCACGGAAAAAAAAAAAACACGCGACGACCTCGAAAAATTTTGCAGTATCGGCAACGAACTGTAGAGAATGGCTTACCTAGTCCCTGTACGGCGTTCTCCCAGGCCTTCTCGGTCAACTTACTTCGGTGACATACCTGAGGCGAACGGGCAGGACTTCGCATGGACCACGTGACCCGAAAAGAATTGGCCGCGCGGAATAATGAGGCCTAGGGACTAGGCTAATTAGAACACGATGAGGTTTTCGTCCATTGGTTGGATTAAAACCACCTGTGTTCTTCTTACTTCTGCCGTAGAAGTTTACTAAAAAATTGGAAGTCTCACCCTCGACTTCTATCGGCTTTGATGTTGGCCCTTTGAATTGTCAATTAGAAAATAAACCACCGAGGCCCTCAAGGGAGTGTCAGGGTTTGAAGGTCATAACATGCCATAGTTATAAGCCAGTTTCGAATAAGCCATTTCCAAGTTCCAAAAACTCTTGCCTTCAAACGAGCCTAAGTGCAAAACCTGTGTTGTGGAAATGACTTGTCATTTCCATGAGGATAAAAAAAGACATTTTCATATCTATAGCTTTGCACTTACCCTCGCTTTGAAACAGAGCTTTTTTTAAGGGCGGGAGCGCAAATCGTAAATGCTCTATTCACCATTTTCACATAGACCATAATGCACCTTGATTACCCCCCCAAAATTTTGCATAACCACTGTCTTGGATTTCTTTTGGAACGACTGTAATACTCAGGAGAAATTGGAAACAATGGTTATGCAAAATTTTGGGAGGTAAACAAAGTGCGTTATGGTCTATGTGAAAGTAGTGAATAGAGCGTTTCCACTCACGTGGCCAGCGGCTATGCAAATTAGTTGCGACAAAAGAAAGCGTTTACATAAGAAAGGGTATTAACCCCCACAGGAACGGTTTGCTTTTAATCTGCGATTTCATAACGGGAAAAAAAAGCACTTTGCAGGAGCATTTGTTGTTGGTTTGAAAATCAACAACAACAAACGCCAGAGTTTTTACCATTTTTTCCAGACCTTAACCCTATTCTCCAGACTTTCTCTGGGTCTGGAAAATTGCTTTGCAAATCAGTTTTATTTTTCCAGAATTCAAGCCGACTCTGTAGGAACCCTGTTTCTTACTATCAAGAATATCTATTGGTTCCGCACGATAGAGTTTGAGGGAAGCTAGATGTGCAATAAGAGAGAACATAAATTAAGTAATAAACTTTATTGAAATGCTGCGTTAAACATTTTACATAAAGATTCGCTATACAGTTAGATGAGAAGGTGTTTTAACCGCCCTCTTCCATGTGGTTGTCTACAGCTTATTTTCTAATTTCCTAAATCGTGTGTGGTTAAATTTGCAAAACCACCATTGAACGTTCAGCCATATTTTTAAAACATGTACAGCACTATGCTGTGAAATAGCCGTGTGGATACTAGAAACGACTCTATCATGGAAATGCCATCGGTGCCACAGACGTATTAGCAGCCACTAGAGCTTAGCGGTTGTAACCAAGAGCCTCATTTCATCCAGGCTTCTCTGTAGATACGCAGCGAAGTGACCCGGATTAGTCTCAGGGTTGCTGTTAACTGTAGATACGCCGAGAATGATTTTGTCGTTTTGTGGGTTATAACAGACTCCATATCCATCAGGTACCGCAGGACCAAACGATAAAAACAGCTCGTGGTTTGACGGAACCTACAACAATAAAGATGAACGATAACTTCTTAAAAGCTCTTCAGTTGCAGAACTTTTCAAACATTTGATACCATAGGTATTCTAGCTCACTCAAACCAACATTGCAGTAAATGGCCGTGCGTAAACTTTAATCGCCCTGTTCGCCTCTTTTTGACCTCATGGAGGGCTTATTTCCCTTTCTTAAATGGTCGTTGCCATTTCTTAGCGGTCGATGCCGCCATTGGTATCCAAGCCTTTAGTTTTGATAGATATAAGATATTCCCTGGATTATTAAGCTATAATAAGGGAAGTAATACGTTTTTGAATAGTCTTAGAAAGAACGACTTTGAAGGCCAAGTTGAATTTATGTTAAAAGTTATGGAAAGGGTACCCTGTCATTAACGTATCAGTTAAGAAAGACAGCTCGCTAGTTTATGTACTTAAATTTTTCGGAAATTTGGCGGGTCGGTGTGGTCAGTATGGGAGAGAGATTAGGATAAGAAATGTCCGTGTTCGACCCAGGGTTGCGATCTTCTTACTTTTCATGGGTCATAAATAGAAACACCCTCTATAACAGGTCAAAAATTTTCTACGCGTCTTTAAAATGGCTGCGACCGTTTACGAAAGGGAAATTTGCCACGGCGAAACGAAACGAACAACTGGAGCGTGGTACAATGGCGCCAAAGACGGAACAGATCTCGGAAGTGTAATCTGTACTAGAAATAACCCAATGAGCGCTAGCCCTATTAATGGAAATCAGGGGAACACACGAGGCAAAGAAAGAAAGTTTTGAACGCCCACTTTCCCACAATAAAAAGGTAGTTTCTCTTTTGCATAGCCCTCTATAATACCAGCAGAAAAAAAGTGTAAGATTGAAATACCCTTGTGCAGCTACCCCGACGACTTGCACACAAAATATCGCAGTCTTATCTCAATTTTCATGCAAACGTATGTGTCCTTTAGGCTCATCCGATTGGGGGAGGGTTGTAGAGCCCTACCAGCCCCAGTCGAGGTTGGACAAACAAGTTTTGACCGCCCATTATTTTTTAACTGCTTCCGTTCACAACTGAGCGAGGAAAACGACCTCGTGAATGAATATTTGTGTAACGGTGTCAGGGTAGGATAATTTCGTAAACGTACAAACACGTACGTTAGTATGTGTGACAAACTATGAAGAAGAACTTGAGTGAACATAGCCTTAGTGATTACCTGGCTCGTTGATACTTTGTAATGTAACGCGTATTGATAGGAACTGTCCATAAACAGCTCATGAAGATTCATACGAGATTCCAAGGCAGCTAATTTCAATCCCAACAAGTGTCTGTCGATAGCCTGGCCATTCACTGCCTGCAAGAGTATAAGCGACAGGCAGCTCATGATCTGGGGCTTAATTGTCGTCACCAGGGTCTTTGGGGCTTGCAAAAATACGAAATTTAAAAGCTTTAGAGACCTACGTAAACGCATCGTATCGAGCTCCGCATAGGCGCTAACTGTGGGGAAAAACTGTTTGCTTGCAAAATAATTTGCCGTGATGTCTTTGTGCATGATTAGGCTTTTTCCGCACTAAAATGTTTATACTTTCCACTAATGCCATTGTATTATAACACTATAGATTGGTTAATAGCCCTTAGTATGAGGCGCTTTGCACAATTTACAGGTCTAAAAACTCCCCTATTACTCTCAAGTGATACACAAACCATGGAAGCAGATGAAAAACATCTGAGATTTTCAGACCGTCTTCGAGCTGTGGGGACAACATACGAATCACTCACTGAGTGTTCGATTCAACTTCTTAAATGATGAAAAATGCTAGGGAAAACGCTTGCAAGTAATTGACTATTTTCCTAGTGCTCAATGATAAACTGGATGTAGGTTACAGCCAAGACTCAGGCGAGAGACATGCATCTCCTTGCACTGGCCTTGACTGAAAGCTACTTCAAGTTCATTTTGAGTGATCGCGTGCTAACAATCCTCTGCCACTACGTACCTCTTTAGTGTAGTTACTATGTGCTCCAATCGCCTTCTTCATTAGATCAAGCTTTTCCGCATTCTGCAAATAATAATGAAGAAAACAATGCCAGTCTAGGGTGTGTAAATCGTTTGAATGGAACCTCTTGGCCAGTACTTTGATGTGGTTCTATATTTTGCGATTTGTCAGCATTTTACAGAATGAAATTTGGAAATTTTGTCAGATTTCGACTTTGGCCGGTTTTAGGAATGAAAAGGGGTAATAGGGACTAAAGTTGTTCTAGTCTTGCATTACAGAGCACTGAAGGAATTCTGCTGATACAGTATGAGCGTGGCTTCTGTAGGTGATCAAGGGAACTGCCTACAACAGAGATTCTCTCACTAAATGTCTAAAGTTGCAAATAAATAACTTACAGTTTTATTGGGTGACACCATGGCTTTAACAAACTCAGACGAAGCGATGGAGGCAGAGCGGATGGTGTCAGTTCTTCCCAGGAGAAACTTGCGAGTTGAGCCGGTCTCGTAAGTTGGAGGATTGTGATTATGAAGTCTGCAGACAAATGGAAAAAACAAACAAACAAACAAAATGAAAACACAGCAAATGCGATATTCAAATTAAGTAAATCTTTGTCATATGAGACGTGAACCTGCTCCAGTAAAAAGTTTTTTATGTGAACGGTTGAATCAACAGCGTCCAAATAAATTTTGGAGTTCGTCATTTAGTTCTGCATTTCTGCGTGGCTGACCAAAAATTTCTCAGGCAACCTTCTCAACCAATTAGGAGAAGGCCTAAAATAATTCGTTAGATATTTGCGCGCCTCAGTTACATACAACTCCTTCAAGATGTGATTGCCCAAACAATCTAGTGCCCCTTCTTAGCCAATGAGGAGCTGGCCGAAAATAATTGGCGAGTTATTTGCGCGCGCAGTTTCACCGCACTTAGCGTCGGTTGCAGGTAACTCATCCAAGATGCGATTGGTCAGAAAATTACTATGTTTTGGGTTGTTTACTTCCACATGGCAAGTCACACACCCACAACAATAGCTTGTTGCAAGCGTTCAGATAGTGGAGGGCAGCGCGAAGTCAGAGAACGGGAAAAAATGCGGAGGAAGAGAGGAGGACCCATGAGTCGTTTATGTAGATAATTACTTTAGAGTCTGGAGAAAGAGGCTTTCTGCTCATATTCATTCTATATTTGGTTTGGTTTTCTTTGTGCTCAAGTCTCTTCTGGGAATTGCGAGACAATGGAGTCGTGAAAAATTTGCAATTTTGTCCCTAAAGCCTAAGAGTCGTGTTAGAAATTTCATATATCAAACGGGGGAAATTTAAACGAACTTTCGTGATAGCATTTTTCACCAAAAATGTTCCTTCACTATTAAAAAGGTGTTTGTTGGTTTGTTTGTTTGTTTTTGCTTGCTATGTCTAACTGAAGGCCTGCAGGGGGCCGTTTCTCGAAAGTCCCGATAATTAACGGGCCCGGTAAGCTGTCCCCATTTACATTAAGGGTCGAGGTTTCAATAGTTTTGCATCTATCATGATAAAACTATCAGTTAATGAAACAAAATGGAGTAGTTTGCTAGCCAGGACCCGCGCTCTTTTTTATATTTCGATTTGAATATTTGATTTCGTGCCCGAAAAGTTACCGGGACTTTCGAGAAACGGGCCCCCTGAAGCATTATGTTAAAGGTGTTCATTACTTATAAACACAATACCTGTAAAATGTTAACTGAAATGCCATTTGTATCCAGGCGTCTGGACTCATCTTCTGCTTCTTCACGAATGATTTACCATAGCCATCATAAATAAAACACCGTAAGTCAATGTCCTGGATCATTCTGAGAGAAATGTCAAACAAAAACATTACTGTTTTTTCATGGTAAACATCACGTGTTATAGGTACAGAATGCGTGCGAAGTTACACAGGGTACCACAAGAACTACGTTAAATACACGCTGGTTTGAATTCTGTATACTGCTAGGGTCAGCAACATTGATGTACCGTGACGATCGTTCAATAAAACTTCCTTCATATCCATACGGTAGTATCTATAGCGCAAAGGCAGGTAGAGCTGGACTGAAACAAATATTATTTTCAAACAAAACATAAAAAGTATCTCAGCGAACAAGAGGGAAGTCGTTAGCAATTTACGAGCGTGGTGGGGTATTCGAACTCAAGACTACCGAGAAATAACTTCAGAAGCTGTGAGGGCGGAACTTGAAGTCGGATCCGCGGGATTGTAAGTCCCATGCTCTAAACACTCGTCCACGCTGCCATGTTTCGAGATTTTTGTGTGTGTGTTTGGGAGTTTGAGGCACATAAGACGATGAGCTGCAAAAATATCCCCGTGTGGTGTAAGAACAATCACATGACTCTTGCTTTCAAACATCTCAGCAGTAATATGGTCGTGTTTGGGTAACAGAAAGTCAGTTAGTCACTTACGTGTCAAGATCACAAGCTGACTGTTTAATGGCCTCCTTTACTTTACTAGATAAGTTCCACTTCAGCTTGGATGGAGTTTCCAAATGCCTTGCGTCTGAGGGTTCTATGTGTAGATGGTTTTCCCTAAAACAAAAAAAGTGAAGAAATTACTACAAACACGACACCAGAGAACGGACAGTCAAAAAAAATTGGGAAGGAGAACAAGTAACTTTTGTTTGAATTCGCTTTTTATGACCGATTACGAAAACTACAGCTATTTAACAATTATTCCTCGAGGCCGAATGGGCTATTAGAGATTTTTAGATCCGAGTTTACCGCGAACCTCTAACCGCTGGAGGTCACGTGACAAGTCTTTCGCGTCACGTTTGAGGTTTACGACGTGCGTTTTCAACGTGAGGAGGTAGGTTTTCACGTATGTCATTTATCTGAAAGTTTTAAGCGTATAATTCTTGTTTTATACCACGTAACGATACAAAAATCTTGTGGAGCAAGTCTTTATCCATTAACAGAGGCACAAATTCGGGCGAAATGGCTAAATTTGATAAATCCTATTGGATCTTGAAAACAAGTGCCATTCAAGGCTGCTGATTCAAAATGGCGGCCGTAAATTTGCAAGAAGAACTAATGCTATAAGAATTTACAGCTCTTTGCTGCTAGATAACCCAGTGTTACCCTAAATTTCTTTTATTTTCACTGATTGATATTTCTTCTATTTCTAAATGGAAAA